CCCCAAAACCCCAAAACCCCAAAACCCCAAAACCCCTTTTATTCGGAATTAGATTGAAATGTACGTTCACAGAATGATGCCCTTAAAAATGTGACGTCAGAAAATAAATTTAAGATCGTTTTTATAAAATAATTTATGGTTAATAATTTTGATAATTCGCAACAAGCTTCTGTGGAGATCTCTCAAGTGCAGTCTCAAGATTCGGAGCAGGAGAAAAAAGGAGGCATGGGTGTTTTATTCTGTGTCCTAACCCTCATCAGCATTAGGGTTTCTGGAGGAGTAATCGGTATTTCTTACGCTGCTGAGCATATTGGATTCACACTGATGTTTATTTTACAAGCTTTATATCTCCCTCTCGGAGTGTTGTCTTGCTGGATGCTGCTGAGAGCGAAGGATATCACTGGCAGAGCCTCTTTTTCAGATCTTGGAATTTACTCTTATGGAAAAGCTGGCATCTATATCTTTAACTTCCTAATAGCTCTTGGCAATCTCGGTTTCGTCATAATTTTCTTGATAGTTTTTGGTGATATTTCTTCAAATCTATTACAAAGATTGGGAGTTGATGAAAACTCATTTTGGACAACCAGATTATGAACTCAAGGGAGTTTAAGTATCATTTTATTATATCTGATGCTACAGAAAGAAATACACAACCTCAGATATGTAGGACTTGTTCAATTATGAATCTGACTGATCTTTCTTGTATCTTTTCTAATCCATTCAATTAAGCGGGATAAACCTCCTACATTCGACTTTGATATTGCAAAGACAGATATAGATGTAAGGTTCTTTGCCGTTCTTCCTACTCTCTTTACTTCTCACGGATTTCAGGCTGCCTATTTCACTGCTTTTTCATCTTTAAAGAACAAGACGAATAGAAATGGGATGCTCGCAGACTTCTTTGGAAGACTTTCGATACTTGTGATTTTTAATGTGACGATCTTTATAGCTGCTGCTCTATACGGAGATGAAATCAAGAAAAATCTGCTAAAATCAATCTCTACAGAAGATGGGATTTTACCTGCGCTTTTAGAAACAACATTTTTATTTGTTCCTGCACTTGCCATCCCTGTCATCTTCTTCCTCGGAAAGGAAGGAGCTTTGATTATTTTTGACGAACTTACAAGAAAAAGTTATTCAAAACAGAATCTTGTAAAGCAAAATAAAGAGTCCAGTAATTCTGAAATGCAAGATCTTGAGAATGTAGCTAATTCCGAAGGAAGGAGAGATTCTAAAGCAAATAGCGAAAGTGATCAGGCAAATGATACTCCTAGCGAGAATCCTGATGCCTCCGATAAGATATCAGAAGTGAGAATAATAAACCCAAAAGAATATTTAAACATGAAAGGAGTTTACTACTACATAATAACTATCACTTGCTATGTAGTTGTGCTTACTCTCTCTATAACTGTGCAAGATGTAACCTTCTTCTTTGGAGTTGCTGGATCAACTCTTGGAAGCTTTTCCTTATGGATAGGACCAGGATCGTTTTATATCTTATCCGTCCATAAAGAGAAGGTAAAGTTGGAATCAAAACTAGAAAAATTTACGTATGTAAGCTCTTTTGCTTATGTAATATTTGGATTCATGTGCCTATTCGGCCTAAACACTTTCGTAATTCTGAATAAATTTTAGAATAATTTCAATGTTCAATCTTATTCAAAATGCTGGGGTTTTGGGGTTTTGGGGTTTTGGGGTTTTGGGGTTTTGGGGTTTTGGGG